CAATTGAACTATTTATGTTGGCTGTGGTGGCACATGCCTGTAATCCCAGCAGTGGAGAGATGGAGGCAGGAGGATCAGAAGTTTGAGTTCATCCTCAGCCACCCTGAGGTTCACTGTCATTTCTTTTTATGACCTTTTAAAAGGTACATTTAGTAGTAGGTCAAGGAGCACAGCTTAAATGTTTTAATAGCAAATTTAAACATTTAGTATTTGGCCTTTCCTAAAATATAAAAACTTGAAGTCTTAAATATTATTAAAAATTATAATTCAACAGTAGAAGACAGTATGGTTTGTATATCAAAATAGTAAGCATTTTGCTTAAGTTTTAGTTTACATTATTTGTCAAAAGTCACATTTTTAGTTACATAAGCTGCTGATTTTATTTTTAATGTTTACTCTTGAACCTTTTATTTAATTTATTTAATGGCCATCAGTTGACATTAAAAATTACTAGAGAAAAAAATAAAATCTTAATATTGGTTCAAACGTCAACAGCAATAGCTAGAATTTTCAACTGCTGTGGCATAAGAAACTTACCTTGAATACTTATGCCAGTTATACTAGATAAAAGTTTGGATAATTAATTTTTTGTAATAAGTTATAAAATTAAATATTAAATATTAAATATAAATACTTTTAACCATAAAAATTTAACCACTTTTAGATGTACAGTTTATTGATTTTAAGTACATTTACAGTATTCTTATGCCATTCCCACTATTTATGGAATCTTTTTTTTAATCATTCGAGACAAAAACTTTGTATCTATTAAACGATAAACGTCCACTGACCCCTTCTTCCAGTTATCGGTGATCTGCATTCTACCTTCCTGCTATATGAATTTTCATAGTCTGGGTACCTCATATATTATCTGGCTTATTTGACTTTGCGTGTTTTCATAGTTCACTCACTTCATAGCAGCAGTTAATTACACATGTCACAATCATAGCATGTTCTTTGTAGCATGCATCAGCATTTCAGCTGTCCTCCTTTTTTTTTTTTTTGCATTGATGGGGATTGAACCCAAGACGTTTGCGTGAGAAGCAAGCACTTTATAATTGGGCCTATATTTGCAGCCCCTTCCTTTGATTGTAAGCCTGAATACTATTCCACTGTATGTTTGTATTTTGTGTACCCATTAACTTGTTAATGAGCACTTGAGTTGTTCCCAACTTTGGAATATTGTGAGCATTGCTGGTTTGAGTAACAGTGTGTGGGTATCTGTTTGAGGACCTGTGCTCAGTTTTTATTTTTATTTTTATTATTTTTTTTTCTGGACTATGTGGAATTCTTTGTGTAGCTTTTTAAGGCATTGCCGAGCCGCTTTCCACAGCAACTGCTCCGTACCACATCTCCACCAGTAATGCATGCTGGTCCATATGCAGTCAGATGATGCTCTGTGTCCTTGTCCTAAATGGTCAGAGATAGGAGTTGAAAGAGGAGCATGGTAGATTTTTGTGAAAAGGTTTGCATTTTGGTCTAACATGCAGATGGTCTAGCAGCTGATCCTCTTTCTGTACCAAAAAGGGAATTCTGTACCAAAAAGTAGATTTATCTACTTGAGTCTTTTAAAGTCTATCCCAAATCATTTTACCCTTCTAGTAACTTACTTGTATGCTTCAGGATTGCAAGCCTTCCCCGTATAGCATCAGGAATTCTACACAGTCTTCCACTTGGACTTCCATCACTGCGGGGCGTTTACCCACCAACCCCACAGTTCCCCAGAGTTTTCTTGAGTTTGAGCAGCAGGAAATATTAGATAGAAGGATTTAGATTGTGGAGATAAACAGATAGAAAATACAGGATAGCCTCGAGAGGGCCTGGAACCTATTCCAACGGGCCTTGACTGTCTCTGCCCTAAGGTATTTATAGAAACACCAAGGGGTGGAGCAAAAGATCCCCCCCCCGCCCCCCCGCCCCAGCACAGCCAAGTGCAGACCATCTCAGACACCTGCACTCAGGCCCATGGTCTAATCATCCTCTATGCGGACCTGCTGGGTAAAGCCACGAGGAACCTGAAAACGGGTTCCCACACATCACCGTGTGACTTTCTGAGTGCCTTCCTCCAGCTCACTTTGTGTCTCTTGTTTGCTTCTTGTCCGACATCTTTTGACTTGGTAGGCTGTTTCACTAATGCATACTCTGAGTTGGGAATCACCTCCGTGTCTGTCATCGCTCTGCGGCGTGAGGCTATACACAGAGTGGATTGGTCCTCTGGTCAATGCCAGACCAAACTAGAAAATGGGTTAGGGAGCCGAGGAGATGGCTCAGTGTAACAGCACTTGCCACACAATCATGAGGACCAGAGTTTAGATTCTCAGAACCCACGGAAGGGCCAGATAGACTTGGTGGCCCTGCCTGTAACCTATGCATTTGGGAAGCAGAGAGGGGACCCACTGGGGCAGGCTGGCTAGCTAGAATAGCTTGTCTGCGAGCTCTGGGTCAACTCAGAGACTGCCTCAGTCTACAAAGTGGAGGATGATTGAAGAAGACATCTGACCATGCTTCAGGCATGGTGTGTACATGTGTGTGTGTATATACATATACACACCCACACATATCACACCACATACATATACAAGCTCAAGATAAAATGACTTAGGTTTCTATATCAAATGACCAAATCATGGCTTTGGATGGACACTGGGGTCAAAGTTGGTCCACCCTGGTCAGCAGTGTGGCAGAAGGAGTGATAGCATTGAAGAGCTGGGATAATGTAGCACAGCGTTGGCTTACCCTAAGGCAGTGAGGGAGAACGTGTTATCCCCAAATAGAAACAGCTGCTGAGTGACTTCTGCGTGGCCTGTGCTCAAACACAGAAGTAGTTAGAACAGCACAACTGACCTGAGTTTTACTAAAAGCAGATATTTACAAAGAGGCATCCAAATCAATTACACATTGGCTCATATCGAAGCCAAGTTATTTAGTTATTTTCTTATATTCCACATTGGTCTATCCCAAGTCTGACTAATTTGGGCCAGGATGCAGCCAAAATCAGTTACCCCACCCAATCTTGGTTACACTTTTCTGGAAGGCTGCATTCAAATTTATTCAAAGATAAACCTCTTCCTGTTGCCCCAAAGCACATCTATTAGTGAAGGGCCAGTCACTTCTTGCTCTTGGGAAAATGTGCTACAGTATTGGAAGGCTGGCTTTCAGCAAATGTGTTAGCTGTACAAGAACTGAGTTTTCAACGCTAAATACTTTAAAATACATGTTTTATTTCTTTTGTTTGAGATGAGGCTTTTAAGGGACGACAGACACCACTCTAAAAGCTAGCACAGTGTGCGTCGTCTATGGAAAGGGATCTGCGTGGAACACCACTTCCTTTTGCTCAAGAAGCAATTGCGTACATCATTGCTTAGCAACACGCGGTTCAGCTCTGACATCTTATTCATCTTTAATATTCAGGTTCAGATCACGTCTTTCCAGAGACAGGGCAGGTTGAGTCTTTTAAACCAAGCAAGTGGAAGTTGTCACTTTGCAATTTTCATCCTGGGGCTGGCTGTCAGCAGTATCTGAGATTTCATCTTGTAACTTATGTTTGAATTGGACGTGTCTTTTCACTTTTAGCCTCTTTTAGGTCCGTCTGCCTCTGCATACTGTATTCTTTTAAATTTTGAAAAATGCTACCATAACCTCTGTATTTGGACCATCGCATTTAAATATCTTAGCGTGACACCTGAGACCCATCATGAGCAAGGATGCTTCTCCACATCCTGTGCTGCAACCAAATTAAACAACCCTGCATTCTCTGTTAGGCCATCTCCTCAGCTCATGCTTGCTTTTTAGGGGAGGATAATCTTGGATGGGTGAGTCCTGCTTGTCTTTCCAGATGGGGCCTTGCATCACTTAAGGACAGGGATGCATTCTGAGAAATGTGCCCTTAGGCAATTCTGGCAGCTGATGTACTTTGCAAATCTGGATGGTATAGGCTGGCCAATCACCAGCATGGTTTTTAAAAGGAGGAATATGCAACTTGTGCATTGTAATATGACATTGTGCTTAATGGTAGACTTCCTTTTTTATGGGGGGGGAGGTGAGGAGAGGGAGGACAGAGGTGTGTGTGCATGCATATGTGTATGCAGGTGCATGTGCACACAGATACTTTACCTCTGGGCTCATAGGGGGTGTCTGATTCCTGTAGATAGGGCTGGACCCCTTCGCCATGAGTCTTGTATGAGTCTGAGCCACAGGGCCTCAACATGCTGGATTTCAGTTGTTTACTTTCCCTATCTTAAGAAACTTCTTGAGGGTCAAGTATTCTGTCTTTTATCTTAAATGCCACCTTTTTTTTCCCTCTATGTTCCATGTATCTGAACTTGTCAACATTTGTGATAAAGCAGAATCCTCCCTTGCAATAAGTTCTTGAATGTTCCTGGATGAATTCATCATCCATCTTCTGACCCGTTCTTTCTCTGTCAAGGACTCTGCTATTTTACTGCTATTTGAAGCCCATAAGAAGAGTCAAACATCCGATCAGGACTATGATAGATGCTGGTGTGATGTAGAGGCTGGGGGTAGACAAAAGACAGGATGCTTTGAAGATGTAAAACTATAAGAGGCCAGGCCACACTTTTCTAAACATTTGCACAAAGGAAAGAAGGTCGTTTTAAGGTTGTTTTAAATGGTATTTTTACAGCTGATATAGAAAATCAACTGTGACTCGGTGGTATGCTAACATCATCAGTTTATATATCCTAGGCTTAGAAAATACAACTTGAGGAACCATTTCCAAAAGCAACTTCTACCATAATAGAAGACAGAGACCGCCTGACTCCTTAATAAATTGGTGTGGCTAGATTTCTGAGCTATTGTTTATATTTTAAAAAAATCTCATCTAAGTTTTAAAATATTTATTAGAAACATAATAGTATCTATGATTTCATCACCTTTCTAGTCTAATTGTTAAATACTTTGTTAATATCTTTCTTGTTAGATATCATAGCATTGAGACAGTGATCATAGCTTAAATATTTTATTTTCTCTCATTTTGACAGAAAACAAGCATCATTGTGGGTCCAAGGAGACATTTTTCGATCCAAACTGAAAAATAGACCTTCCAGTGAAGGAAGTATTAATAAAATTATTTCTAGCTTGGATGATATGTCTATTGGTGGAAACTTAACTAAATTGCAAAGTGCTGAAAGGTTTGCAGAGGTGAGTTTTCCCCAGGAGGAGTCTCCCTCCTCAACACCGGCATTCTTCATGTTCCCCGTCCCCCCCTCCAACACATGTCACATGGATCTATCTTTTCTTTCTTCTTTAAACATTTGTTTATTTGTGTGTGTGTGTATGTGTGTGTGTGTGTGTGTGTGTGTGTGTGTGTGTGTGTGTGTGTATGTGCATGCTGCATCATCTATGTGGTGCTCAGAGGACAACTTTTGGGAATTGGTTCTCACCTTTACCATGTGGGTTCTGGGGATCAAGTTGAGGTTGTCATCAGGCTTGGTGGCAGGCCTCTTTGTCTGCTGAGCCCTATCACCAGCCTGGGAGACCTTATCTAGTCCCTGAGCTCCCTGGAGGGCTGAGTTCCTAAGCTTGGAGTCATTGACCTCTAGAGTACAAAACAGAACAAAGAAACCAGTTGTCTTTATAGAGGAAGAAATAAAGTCATCATTGAGGGAGAACAATTATAAGGAGAGCGATTCTGATGTAAGGACTATTTATAGAAAGCCAACAGAAAAGTATAGTTTCCATTTGAAAACAGAAACAGATAACCAAGAAGATAACGTTGGATGCTGCTTTTGCGGAAGCTGTACCTAGCACAAGTGGTACTCTGAAAGCTTCTGATTCATTTTGATTTCTAAAGTGTGCAGAGGCAAAGCAGAGTTAGGACAACTTGTTTTCTCCAGTCTCCCCTCTACCAACCCCCTGTAAACAGCCATTCTTTAGCAGCTGATCTAGTCTTCCCTGCCGTCCAGTGAATTAGGTAATATCTCTGTTTTGTAGTAAGGAAATTGTGTTCCGGAGATGTGTTGACTTCACTTTTAAGGCATGATTCGATCTGTGTCTGTCTGAGTCCAAACTCATGATTTTTTTTTCCCTATTGTTCCCAACTACCTCTGAGGTAGCAGGAAGTGACTTACAAAGAATTTGGGAGCTGGAAGTAACTGTACTAGTATCATTTGTTCTAATTCTTTTCTGTGGGTAAGAAATGAGAGTTCCAAAAATGTGATTTGCCCAAGGGTCTTGAATTATTGAGTAGTGGAATCACTTTCAGAACTGGGTATTCAATGCTTAGTTTAGCTTGCTCTTTCTCCCCCAGTTCCTCCAAGAAAGGGTCTGAAGCCTAGGTTAACCTGGAGCTCAGGGTGACTCACCTGCCTCAGCCTCCTGAATCTGGGATTATAGGCACAAGCCGTCATGCTTGACCCGACTAAAGTAGCTCTTTGAGTAACATTGTGCCTGAGGTAAAGATAAGAATTTGGGTTGTATTTTTTTATTCCTAAAGAGGCAAAGGAAACAGGAATGGCTGGGGAGAAGGTTCAGCCAATAAAGATGTTGCCTTGTGGTGTGAGAACTGGAGTTCAGATCCTCAGAAGCCACAGAAAGTCAGGCCAAGTGTGGTAGTCACCCATACTCTCAGAACTGGGGAGGCAATGGCAGGGGGTGCCCGAGGCAAGCTGGCTAGATATACTAGGCAGGGTCAGCAAACTTAGTTCAGTGAGAGACCCTGCCTCAGTAAGTAAAGTGGAGGGTCATCGAGGAAGATAGCTGATGTCAACTTTGGAACTTTGGACATTTACAGACATGCATATGTATACACATGTTGCGCGTCCCACAGGCACATGCATAAATAAAAGAATCTGGTGCAATATTTAGGTGATAAGTATAGTTTACAGTCCGTCAGCTGGATGCCCATTGAGCCAGACCAGGGCTCTGAGGAAGCTTAGCCCCCAAGAGCCCTCCTGGAAGGAGTGCATAGTTGTCTCAAACCAATGCTTGACATCCCCCACCCCCCAAGACTTCTCTTGGTTGAGAGACATCCAGAGCTTGGTGAGGTGAGGGGAGGGGAGGGGAGGGGGAGCCTCATTCTAGGGCACGGATGGGGACCTCGAAGGAGCTGGTTTTAAATCTTGTCTCCCAGGACCGTCCCAGATGGCGTGGCTGAGTTTACTGTGTGAGTCATCCGTCCTGACGAAATGTAAATCTTAGCCAAGGTCATGATGTCCAGACCTTTGTGGACTTTTTCTTGCCTCTGTTGCAGTCTGGACTATGAGCAGCAAATGAGAGGATCTGAGCTAAATTTTAACGAGCTGATAGTCCTGAACAAGAACACCTTCTCTTCCTTGCTCTGGGTTGTGACTTCTAAAAGATGAGTGTAACATTCATCTCTCCATCTGAAGAACACAGATGCCTTTCAACAACAAATGCTTTCTAAGTTAGTCTTTTTAAAATTGCTATCTACCCCAGTGGTTCTCAACATTCCTGATGCTGTGACCCTTTAATACAGTTCACATCGTGGTGACCCCCCCAACCATAAAATTATTTTGTTACTATTTCATAACTGTAATATTGCTCCTGTTATGAGTTGTAATGTAAATATTTGTGTTTTCTGATGTTCATAGGAGATCCCTATGAGAGGGTCATTTAACCACCCAAGGGGGTCGCAACCCCCAGGTTGAGAACCACTGATCTCGCAGATCATTTCATTCTGCATTTTTACATTCTTATTTGTTCATTTCAGGACTAATTACCCTTTACCATGGGAAGATGAGAGGATGCAGTATGATTGAAATTTAAAATATGTCAGCTTGAAGTATAAGTCTATATTTTGATGTCTCTCCCCCAGCTTAGTTCATTCAAGCTCCTACAACAGAATACCGGAAACCGTGTGGCTTATAAACAGTAGTCATTTATTTCAAGGCATTCTGGAGGCTGGGAGGTCCACGGTCAAGCAAGGCCTTGGCAGTCACTGTCTAATGGGGGCCTATCTTCTGGCCACAGATGGTACATTCTCCTTGTCCTCATGGGATGCAGGGGAGAGGCAGCTCTCTGGGACCTTCTTCACTCCTGAGGACTGCCTCAGGATCTGACCACTCTTGAGAGACCCCCACCTCTAACTATCATCACGGTGGGTTAGAATCTCAATGTATGAACTTTGGGGAAACACAGATAATGTGAATGTTGGTAGTGTGCATCAATAGTTATTTTCATTTTAGTCATTCACAAGTGCTGTTGTTCTTACCATTAGAACAAGGAAATGGAAAACAATAAAACAAAACAGAACCCCCTCAGGTGCCGGAGTCCAGTGGGATATTAGCTACTTACTTCATTGCTGGGACCAAGGACCAGGCAAGAAACACCTGAGGGAGAAAGGGCTTATTTTGGCTTGTGGTTTGAGGAGACGGAGCCCATCATTGCAGGGAAGACATGGCGTTGGGTGTTTCCATGGCAGCGAGAACATATGGCAGCTGTTCCTTCAGGTCATAGAGAATTTAGGCCTGGAAGCCAGGCAAGGCTCTAAAGCCCAACTCCCACCTTCCCCCATTCCTCTCAACATCCTACTTCCTCTAATCAGGCCACGCCTCCTGAGAGCTCCACATCCTCCCAAAACTGCATCATTGGCAGGGGACCAAGTCTCCAGACACAGAAGCCTGTAAGTTACATCCATACTATAACAGATGGTATGGTCTTCTATAGTGGCTTCTTTGTGGCCTTTGGTAGCACCCACTGTGTGCCAAGAACCATTTTAAGCACCTTACGTGGATTAACCATGTAACCATACAGCACAGCCACCAGAACGAGGCCCCTTTGAGAAAGACTGAGAAGAGGCAGAGGAAGATGGGCACCTGCCCGAGGTAACACACAGTCTGTAGTGACTTGTCCTTTGAACGTAGGTGCACTGGTTCGCAGACTGTGTTTCTCCATGAGTCCCCAGTGTGGCTCTACCACATTCCACCAGGACTTAGAACCATATCTTTGCCAGCTCCTTCTCTGAAACTTCTCTCAGAGTCACAATGAGTTCCGTCTTTCATTTAGCTACTCTAGGGTTGTCTTCCAGCATCCATCTCCCAACCAGGAGATGCTCTTGACTTAGAGATGTTCATTAGATGCAGATCTGATCATGTGAATTCACGATTGACCAGATAAGAAAGTAGTGCTACATCTTTGAGAGTCACATCTTTGAGCTACTGCATTTTGTGCCCATCAAGTGCTCATGAACTGGGTACCTCTTATAAATTCCCTAAGTAAAGCACATTTCTAAGACTTTACTTTCAAGTACCTTGCTTCCCCTCTCAGGATGGAGAAGGTGTGTCTGTTCCCATCTGAATGCCTCCAGGAGCCACCAGAGGCTATCAGGAGGGCAGTGGTAGCACCCAGATTGAAACTTTGGGGTGCCTCTTCTGGCTTTAGTTTAGAGGGTGTTGCTGAGGTCCACAGAAGACTGGAATAAAGGGGCAGGGAGCTGGTGATGGGGAAGTGGTCCAGCTTTCAAAGGTCCTGGCCAATGCAGTAAGGACAGATTTGGTGAGCTCTAACCAACCCAAACTAAGTTGCCTTCTGTCTTTTTTCCCCTCCTCTTGCCTTTCTGTCCCTTCGGTGGTGTTGGGATGAGACCCAGAGCCTTGCATATTCTAGCCAAGTGCTCCAGCTCTGTCATAGAGCCACACCTCCAACTTCCGAAACCTAATCTTCCTTCTGATCTCAGGAGTTTATTGTGAAGGTGTCTGTCTGTGTCTTCCCCTAACTTTGACACTGTACAGGTTCAATGCCTGCACACTGGAAAGAATGTTCGCCCTAGGGACCCAGCCGCCTTTCCTACGCAAATTGTTTAAATTTGCTGACAGTCCACTTCTCATATTCTCATCTTCAAATCCTTTGACTTCTGTTTTTACTTCCTTCTGTTTCAAACTCCTATGCTAATTTATTTTATAGAATCTGTCATCTTTATTCCCTAAAGTGCTATATTTTTATCTTAAGTTCTTTTCATAGTGGCACATTCAACAACTTCTCTTGTGGCATATTCTGCTACCATTTTGTTAACGTGTTGGCCAGTAATTACTTTATCTAACTAAAAGCGATGGGCACCATTTTCTTACTATTATGTTTTGTCTTGTCTGCATAGAACTGGTGGAATAAAATAAAGTCCGTTGCCTTTAGTGGGCCAAGGTGTGAGGGTCTCCCTCAGAGTCAGGCTTCTTTGTCATTGATCCCCAACAGCCTGTGGGTCAACTCAGGGTGAGAAAAGCCCAAGGTTGGGTTCTCTACACTTGTCATTTGTCACATGGTTCCACCGCCATGCCACACCTTCCCCAGATTGGAATTTCTCTGCAACTCTGAGCCCAAATGAGCCTTTCTTCCCTTAAGTTGATTCAGTTGGATATTTTAATCACACCAACATGAAAGTAACTGATACAGAACCCTTAAGGGCACCTCAGGAGCAAAGTCTTCATACCACCACCTGTCTGCCAACTCACTAGACTGATTTATGCCTCACAGTGTCTGGAGTTGAATTCTCCAGTCAGTCCTCCCTCCCTCCACCCCTGACTCTCCACCCGCACCATAGGCTTCTGAGACCTGGTTATATTATAGAATCGATGTCCTAATAAATACAGGGCTCAGTTACAGCCGTGTCCCTATATTTAAATCTGTATCTCAGGAGACAAGAACCTGTTTCTGTACAGTTGTTAATTTGTTTTGTGGTTTTGAAGATTGTATATCTTATATGCAATCATGTTTTGAGTAACATTATATAACTTTCGTTAAGGATTTGAGAGCACAGAGAAGCACAGTAGCACGTGCCTATGAGCAGGTGAAGGCATGGGAGCAGGGGTCTCAGGAGCTTGAGGCCGGCTTTGTCTAGATAGTGATTCTGCACTGCATGAAGCCCTGCCTCAAAAGAACGAAACCAAACACAAACGAAAAATGTGTTCATTTGTTTACTGATGGTTTTGTGATTATGCCTCTGTACCTCTTATTCTCTCATGTAGCTAGAACCTTAAATTGGTCTTTTAATAAAAACCCAGAGCCTGCTATTGGGGTAAATGCTGTAAGACCAGAGAGACAAAGGAACAAGCCACTGCCACGTCTCACCTCTGGGACTCCTCAGCCTGAAAAGGCTTCAGCTGACAGACCTCTAGCCGAATGAGCTTCCTCAGCGGAAAAGGCTTCAGCCGAAAGAGTCTCTAGCTGAAAGGGACGCTTCGAACGAAAAGCCTTTAGTTCCTGTCTCCTCACGCCTTATTTACCTTTCTCCGCCCAGCCATCACTTCCTGGGATTAAAGGCATGTGTGCTTCCCAGTACTGGGATTAGAGGTGTGTGCCACCACTGCCTGGCTCTGTTTCTCCCCTAGATTGAGTCAATCTCATGTAGTCCAGGATGGCTTTGAACTCAGAGATCCAGATGGATCTCTGCCTCCTGAGTACTAGGATTAAAAGTGTGTGCCACCACCGCCTGGCTTCTATGTTTAATCTAGTGGCTTGTTCTGTTCTCTGATCTTCAGGCAAATTTTATTTGGGTACACCATCTATCACCACACCTTCAAATCCCCTAAAATCTGTGCATAAATAATGACGTGGTCTATCCTTTGCTAGGTTTCTTTAGACCTCTTCTGCATGTCTAGACTGTCCTTCACTTGGCCTTCTCCTTCCTCACGGCCTGTTATCTAAGTTTGCTGCATCCTGGTCTAAGCCATCTTCTCTCATCAGACTATTATAGAAGCCTTTTAACTGTCTGCCTCACTCATGGTCCTTTCCTTCCCCAATTCATCCTCCAACCATGGGGCAGCTAGAAGGAAATGTTTGCAACATACAAAAATGCATTTCTAAACATATACAGAACTCTGAATGTGATGTATACAAATAAAAATTATGAAAACCTCATGGTTCCTAAACACAAAACATGTCTATATCCCTAGAAATGAAATTTACATATTGGAATGTTATTTATATCTCAAGCTTCGCTAGGTGAAGTTTGAGTATATATTTTGGAGGGCGATATATTAACATTTAGAAGATAGCTTTAAATGAGCTGAGCAATTCCAATTCATGAACTTTTCTTTCACAGCACAAGGGCAGTGTTAGACAATCATTTGCATCTAGAATGATGTTTGTTAAAGCTGTGTACAGTGCTGAAAGGCAGAGAACAGCCTGACCTAAAGTATTTGTTAAAGAAGCAATTTGGTATGTCTAGACAACAGAACTTTATGGGGCTATAAAATGACAGTGCAAGGTTCTTTTTCGTTTCTCCTGGAACACCATAATAAATATGTATTTTTAATGAAGAAATAACTTACAAAGCTGCATGCGTAATGCAGCCTGTTTTTGTAGGGCAGAAGAATGTCAGGGTGACAGGTGAGAGGAGAATGTGCCTAGCAGAGTAAGAATTCTGGAGAACTGTGCCAAGATTCTTTGTTTTTTGCTTTTGATAGTAAATCTGTACATGATTTAACATTTTTCAAGCTTAGCTGTATTTTATTTCTTAAGGAAAATATGTGATAAATATACTATATATACACTCTATTATCTGTCATCTATCATATCTATCAATCTATCATCTATATATGTATGTGTCTATCTATCTATCTGTCTGTCTTAGTTAATTTTCTATGCTGTGATAAAATGCCAAGACCAAGGCAGCTTATAGAAAGAAGAGTTTGTTGAGGCTTACAGTTCCAAAGGATGTGTCTATGACCATCTTGGTGGGGGGCATGGCATCAGGCAGGCATAGCTCTGGAGCAGTAGCTGAGCGCTTACATCCTTAAGACAACAACCATGAGGCAGAAAGAGAGAGAGATGACCCAGAAACATGTGGGCTTTTGAGACTTCAAAACCCACCCCTCCTCCATTAAGGCCACACTTCCTCATCCTTCCAAAACAGTTTCACCCACTGGGGACCAAGTATTCAAATATATGAACCTGTGGGGGCCTTCTCATTCAAGCCCCTCCCCCCCATTTCACTCCCTGGCTCCCATTGGCTTGTAGCCATATCATAACACAAACTATATTTAGTCCAACTTCCAAAGTCCCCATAGTCTTTCAGTTCTAAAACTGTTTGAAAGTCCAAAGTCTCTTCTGAGACTCAAGACCATTTCTTAACCGTAAGCCCTTGTAAAAATCAAAAGGCAAACTCTATACTTCCAACACACTGTGGCACAGAATATACAATGGTATATTGTATATACATGGTGAGGAAATACTGGACCAAAGCATGATCAAAACCCTGCAGAGCAAACTCCAGATCTGTAGCTCAGTGTCCAGTGTCAGAGGGCTTAGAGGGTTCCATGCTCCCAGCTTTGCTGACTGCAGCAGTATTCTTCTCCTCCTTCTCAGAAAAGGCAGTTTTCTTCTCCAGGGAGTGTGAGCTGGGACTACATCCATACTGCTTTCTTCTTTAAGAGTGAGACTTTAGTAAGCCAAAGGAATGGAGGAAAAACAATATGTTAAATATAGATAGTTAGGTGTGTGACAGTTTGTTATAGTATTATTTTATGATTTTGAAATCTGTCATAATTTAAAAAATCTTTAACCTGCTGATCATGATGTGTCAGGTTGTATAATGAGATAGAAGTATCATGAACCTGAACTAGTGAGACTCTGTCTCAAAAAAAAAAAAAAGGCAAAATCAGAGAAAAACAAACAAAAATATCTGGCATTTAAAAATTTGCCACCTAGTGAAGAAAAACAAAACTCATATATAATTATTATTTTAAATATCCTGTTAATTTTATTTAACCAAGTGTCTTTTAAAATTAATTTTATTTTCAGGTATTATGTAAACGTGGCTTAAACCATGTTTAAGAATATAGAATGCTACGAAAAAAAATCCTGTTTCACTTTCCCCCAGACCTCTAAGCAGACCATACTGCTGGTTTCCCTGTTGAATTTCTAAATACCAAAATGTATTTTAAAAAATAATTTTTAAAAAATTTAAAATAAAAGACCTTTCTTCTTCCACTTCCTGGTTGTGGTAGATGGGAGCTATCTCTTCTACCTCTCCACGGCGCCCCTCCTTTTGAGTTACCATGGGAAGCCCTTCCTCTTGGGTTACCAGGGGGAAAGACTAGCCGGCCATTTCTACTTTTCAACCCCCGGAACTTCAGCTGGAACATGCTTTCCTGATTGAGTGCTGTTGGCCCTTTAACTCCCAAGAGGGCTCAAGTGCTTCTGGAGGGCTAACTGATGCAGACAGTGACTGTGTAGATGTCTTCAGTGATTTCATCATGCATGCTTATAAATAGGTTATGGACTTTGCAGTGGTGGTTCCTGGAATATCTGGAAACATTTATGGTGTGTTTATAGAACAGGGTTATGCCAGGCTGTTTTCCAAAGCCTAGCGTGTCCACACGAGAGTCTTCTTGGTTTTGATCCACTGCCATAGACAGGTTTTAGACACTCCTATCTCCAGCCCGTGCTCCTTTGATGTGGAAGGTGACCCATATATTTAAATGCTGAGTGTTCCATAGTGTGTTCTTACTGCTGAATTCATAACACACTCAGATGACTTCATCTACAGCAAGACCATTTCCATGCCGTTATCTAGAACTGCAGATGATCTGTGCTCTGTTGGGAAATCGGTATAAAGCTAAACTGTTCGTAATGACCTTTCTGTGGGACATGTCTGTTTTTCAGAGTCATTTAGAAGACGAAGATGTGGAAATGAAAAACAACGTAACACAGGGAGACAAACTACGTGCCTTAAAAAGCCAGAGGCAGCCCCGCTCCTCGCCATCCTGTGCATTTAGGTAGCCCATGTTAAACCTTTCAGTTCACAGTGCTCTTCCATTTGTGGGAAGCATTTCGTCTTCACTTCAGAATATCATTCTACAGAGGCCAAGTTTACCTGCTTTCTAATGTATTGCTCCTTTGCCCCATGCCCAGCTGTTGTATGTTTTATCACTGTTGGCAGTAGCTAAAATTTAAATGCTTATGAAAACAGTTCTTATGTCTCTGTGTCTGGAATTCTGCCTCGAACTGCTGAGCAGTTATTTCTGGTTCTCTACTAAATTCTATTTGGAGATTCACAGGCGCGTTTTGGGTGCTGTAGCAGCTCTTACCTGGTGTGCCAAGGTTTTGAAATGAAGCCAGTGCGTGAAGTAGAGTAGCTTGTACCAAGTTTTGGTATATCCCACGACTTGCCTTCACCTTTGATTTTTAAGACTTGAGTATGTGATTCCTCCATGTGCCTGAGAAATTATGAGCCATCTTGAATTTGAAGTTTGAAATTAGTCAGCAAAAATCAGATCTGGGAGTTGGCTTCTGACCACAGAACAGTTGAAACCTTGTGACTGGGTTGAAAACAAAAGAAATCTTCCAGGAGAAGGAAGGGTTAAATTGGAACAAGAGTTCTCAACCTGTGGGTCGTGACCCCTGGGGGGGTCGAATGACCCTTTCACAGGGGGGTCACATATCAGATTTTACATTATGATTCCTAATAGTAGCACAATTGTAATTAAGAAGTGGCAATGAAATAATTTTCTAGTTGGGGGTGACTACAGTATGAGGAACTGTAATTAAAGGGTCACAGCGTGAGGAAGATTGAGAACCATTTTATTGGAAGAAAGTATAATTTAGCAAATATCTATGCATAAGGACAAATCCATCCTGTACAGATCTCAGAAGCCATGTTTAGATGTGAGTTTTCTTTTGAATTCTCTGATATTTTCTCAGGGGGTAGAGTTCAGTTTCCATGATAACACCATGGCACCATCAGGAAACACTTCTCTACTGAGCAGATACAATGGCACCTTTTTGTGAAAAAGCAAGATGCTCTAAGTATTTCATGGTGAAATAACAAATGTGAATTATCTGCTGGCATTAGGGTTCATTTGTAAAGTGTATGCTGATATCTACTGGCATGGTTTTTCTCTTTGATGGTTTAGTATCTTTATGTCTCTGACTCAAATGCCATCTTTGTTTAACTGTGGGGATCTGGTGATACCTGAGCTGCTGTCTTTGATTTCTGCAGGTCAGACGATATGAAAGGACCCCAAAGGGCAGTGGCCCAGACTTTCAGGTACTGACAATAAATATACATTTCTAGCTGCTGTAAATATATATGACTTTTTAGACATATTTTCCAAGCATCAGACTCCATGAAAATAAACATAACTACTCAGCTTTTTCTATCCATTTATTTATTTTGGTAGTTGGAATCAATCTCAAGGCCTTGCACATGCTCCTTCAGTGAGCAACATCCTTAGCCTACCTTATAGCTTTTCAAATCCTCTTTCTTCCTGATTTTAAAACAAGCGCTCCCCCCCCCCCCCCCGCCCCTCTCTCTCTGTTTTGTTTTCTTTTGAGGTCAGTTCTCTCTACATAACTCTGGCTGTCCTGGAACTCACTACGTAGACCAGGCTGGCCTTGAACTCACAGAGATCAGTCTGCCTCTGCCTCCTAAGTGCCAGGATTAAAAACGTGCCTGGCTTAAACTCCATTTTAAAATGATTTATTTATTTTTATTTTATGTGTAAGGATGTTTGGCCTGCATGTATGTATGTGCACCATGTGTTTGTGTGCCTGGTGCCTGCCCTCAGAAGAAGGCATTGGATCCCCTGGAACTGGAGTTACAGTTGTGAGCTGCCATGCGGGTGCTGAGACCCAAACCTGGGTCCTCTGCAGGAGCAGCAAGTGTTCTTAGTCACTGAGCCGTCTCTCCGGCTCTGAAATGAGCTTTAGAATTTTTAATTCTCACCCTGCCCTCAGGCTGTGTGCTGGTGGTGGTGACCTTTGCATTCTTTGAGCTCCCAGCACCTTCTGGTCTTCAGTAACCTCCAAAGTGCTCTGTAACTTTCTTTCCAACCCAGAGAGGGATTCTGACCCCCTTCCATTTGTTAGCTCTCTTTATTTTTGTGTTCATTTGCTCATTGCTGTGTAGTTTTCTTTTTTGTGTCACCCCTAAGAGGAGGAGATATTACTGTTTCTCTCTTGGAAAAAGTTCTCTGATCCTCCTGGGGTTGGACCCAGACCCTGGTATTACCAGGATCCATTGTGGCGGCACCTGGCGAGAACACTAGAAACGGTTGGCCAGTATTGTTGATAAAACAGGACAAAGGCGCTGCCGTTTTCTCTTTGAGGATTTCACTCTAACCATGTTGTTTAACGGGTAGTTCTGTTCGGCCCAGACTTCTTCCTGGTGTAACTTCCCACTTTTGTTTGAGGGGAAAATTCGACGTAAGCAGTGCTCAGGAGGGTGGGTGGTGAAGGAACGTGGGAACACGGCTTTGTGAAGCAGAGACGAAAGCACGGTCCAGTTCCATCACAGCATTTATCTACGACAAAAGATAGTTGGTGTTAAAGCCATGACTGAGCTCCGACTCTCTTCAGTGGAGCCAATTTTCCCTTGGTGCCCACTGGCACCTTGGTTATAGAGCACAAGTCTTTGCTCTGGAGGAGCTTCAGTTGAGTGATGGAAAGAGGCAAGAGGGAGATGATGAAGGACAGTAGAAGAGCTGTGACTTACTACTGTGAGTGGGCCGGTTGAAACAGGCTGCTGCTGATCCTGCTTGAGAAGTCGATAAAGCCCTGCTGTGGGAGGTGATAACCACACGGACCATTAAAGGGCCGGGGATAAGAGTGAGTTCGGGGGAGTGGAAGACCAGAGGTGAGGAAAGGCAAGGAGAGAAGAGGACTCCCTGTAGGAGAAAGGGGGTACACAGACTTTACAAAGGGGTGAACAGTCTGGTCAGGACACCCACAGCTGGCCGAGCATGTCTGGTCAACTTTCCTGTTTGTGGAAGGGGACAAAGACACTGGAGGCAGCTGCACACACCGAGGACAAACGGTATTGCCCCTCACCTGTTGTGTAGCGACAGGTGAGAGCCAACTAAAGCGAGGTCATTAGGCCCCTGCCTCTGTGGGTTTAATCTTGTGAGACCCACTCAGAGAAGCAAACTCTGCACTTTAGAGGTTCTCACAAGCCAGGCCGAGGACGTGAGCAGGCTTTGTGGGCACGGAAGAGAGGTTACAAGGTTTGAATAGCGAAGTGACAGAATGGGATGTTTTAGAGTTCACCAGAGGGAACGTATGGTCTGAACTGTTGAGAAATGAGAGGCAAGTACAAGAACAATGGTGGCCTTGAACTCATGTGGGGCGGTTGCCCGCTGGAAAGGAAGGGGTGGGTGTGAAGGGGACTTTTGGGCATTGAGCTTTCTTCGTTTACCTTGTTATAGTTCCTTGTGGAATATTTTAGGGAACACAACTGTGGTGTGACGCTCTGTCCTTTTCTTCTCCTCCAAAGATTAAGTTCTTCCCCACAACCATCTGTGTCTACTGTGAAGACCCCCAAAGTGTGTCTGTCCCCGTCAGCGACCGCCAAAAGGATAAACAGAGGTTCTTCGTCTTCGGGTGCAAATACAAGAAGGTAATTTTTCTCTACCTCTTCCAGGGCTCGAGCCTGAGGTGAGAAAGATCTGCAGGCCAGGAATAAAGCTGCAGGTCTGTGAGAGGAGGGGCCGGGAAGAAGTGGAGACACCCCAGAGAGTCCGCTCTTTTTCTGGGGTTTCTGGTCCTTCCTTCCTGGCAGGGGCTGAGGCTTCAGAAGGGATGGGTAGGTGTGAACCATCACAGTCTTCTGGTCCCTCGCCACTGTGCGTCACGTGATGCAGATATAGTCAGCCCTACTAACGATCAACAGTCTTGTTCCTCACCCTGTGTGTACAGACAGAGGGAACCAACTCAGATGGGTAGAGATGCTTGACGTCATCCTATGCTAGAATATGTCTGGGTTAAATCTTGGACTTAATTCAGCTTCCAGGCTCTCCTTATAGTTACTCTTTGCCTCTGGCAGCTACAATTCTAAATGTTCTATTTAAAGACCAGTCAGTGTTTAAGCCAGTTTCTTGGGTCTTGATTAACCTTTTGACCAAGAAACTTAACATGTGTGAATACGGCCACAAACGATAGTGTTATAAAGAGTGATGAAGCCATTTCGTCACCTGTGTGGATCAGAATCACCTTCATTGCATTCCCGTGATGCTGTGCTTACATATGTGAGTATACATTGTGTTTCTCCCCCAGCTTCCCCGTAAACTCCCGGCTAGCCAGTTCTCTAGGGAACCTGAACGCTGTGACGGATGACCCCGAGAACAAAAAGTCCGCCTCACCCACCAAGGCAGCGTTCATAGCCAGCCCGTTCACCAGCTTCTTGAATGGCAGCTCCCAACCACCTGGCAGAACTTACCCTGAGCTCAACAACAACCAGTATACCAGAAGCAGCAACAGCAGCAGCAGCGGTCTTGGGGGCAACCTGAACAGTTCCCCGGGACCCTTGAGCACCAAGCCTGAGGAACACACCACCGTCCTTCGGCCCTCCTTCCAGGGGGGGCTCTCTTCCTCCTCAGCGAGATTCCTGAGCCGGTCTATCCCTGTAAGTTCACAGACACCACCTCTTGGTCCTCAGAACCCTGAATGCAACTTTTGTGCCTTGCCTTCCCAGCCGAGGCTGCCACCAAAGAAATTTAATAGTGCCAAGGAAGCCTTCTGACCAGTGCCTTCCCTCTGTGTTGTGCAGCTATCCGTGTGCTACATTCTGCTGGCTCCTCTTCAAGTAAATGCCGAGTTTCAACCGGGTTCTCCTCCTTCTTTTTCTCCCTCTCCCTGGTGAGGTGGATTTTTCCTTAAAAGGGAGAGAGCTTTCATTCTGTGGATCATGGACACCATAGGCTTTGTTACTTTTTTTTTTTTTTTGTTTTTTTTGTTTTGGTTTTTCGAGACAGGGTTTTTCTGTGTATCTTTGCGCCTTTCCTGGAACTCACTTGGGAGACCAGGCTGGCCTCGAACTCACAAAGATCCACCTGCCTCTGCCTCCCGAGTGCTGGGATTAAAGGCGTGCGCCACCACTGCCCGGCGTTACTTTTTAATTAAGTTTCCGAACCATTTTGAATATCTGGTACCAGGTGAGGTACTCGATCCATAGCATTTGCTTTGCTCAGGGGGGCTTCTTGAGAATGGCTTCTCCACTCCCCGAGGCCAGGATTTGGGGTAAAGAAATGTGGGGCATGCAGGAACAGTGTCTTCCCAAGGTTGAGCACTGGGCTTCCTGCACGGAGCTGACCCATTATTCTTGAAGAGACAAATGAAGTTGTTAGTAAGAGGTCAGTGAGAGGGGGCCAGGAACCTGGCCTGCCAAGGTAGGAGCAGGGAGTCTCTAGGAAGACTAATTTAAAATTAGCCACCCCTCTTCTGGAGACAAGTGAGAACTGCAGATGATTTTTTTTCCCCCAAAAAGATCTTTATTTGGTCACCAGGCTCCCTTTTTACTAGCCCCATTAGTGTGAAGAGCTATTGGTCAAGTCTCGGCTACAAATTTAAAATTTTGATTGTGTCAAGAGGCTTTGATATCCATAGGACATGAATTTAGTTTTGAGAGGGGAAGATGGCAAATAGAACTATATCCAATGTATGAAGGGGGTGTGATGGTGGGTGTCTTGGTTGCGCTCTGGGCAGGAGCAAGCCTGGTTCCCTGGGAAGGCTCTGTCTGCATTCAGCCACGGCCATGCTTGTTAGCTGTTTGCTCAGCCCATCATTAGGGCAGGACTGCTTTCTCAGGGTCACCGAGGAGAGGAAGAGAAGGGCTGCTGAGGGCTTGTGGCCCACTCAGCAAAACACAGCCTTCATGGTGAGGCCATGTTGGGACCCAGTTTCCTTAGCATATATGAGGATGTTTCCTAAAATGAGAATGCAATGGTGATGCAGTGTGTGTGTGTGTGTGTGTGTGTGTGTGTGTGTGTGTGTGTGTGTATGTGTATGTATGTATGTTTTCATGTGTAGGCTGTCTGGATTCATCTCTACTATAAGCTCTTTTCAAAAATTGTTTTTTTTTTCCCTACATGCCATACAATCGTTTCTGTAAGAGAAATTCTAGCATATATAAAGTCCATGTCTGATTTTTATTTCTATAAAAAATTTCATCATTATTTAAAAATTTTAACCTTTACATTTATTTTATGTATGTAGGCATTTTGCCTGTATGTATATATGTAAGTATGTATGTGCACCATGTGCATGTAGTACCAGCAGGGGCCAGAAGAGGGCGTCTCATCAATACTTAAGATTCTGTTATAGATCAGGATTCCAATTAGCCATCTGCCCACTCTTTGACTTGATTCTGATCTGATTCTAACCCTTTTATATACATTGAGGAGATTTGTGTCATAAATATGGAAAGCCATGGGCCAGGGTAGAGTGGAGGTCGGGGTTGCAGGGTGAGCGCTAGATGTGAGAGGACAGTGTATTTAAACTTTTACAACTGTGTTGATACATCCTGTACTTCACAGACTCAGTTGAGTTCAGCCAGTATTTTCATACGTTGTTTTGTGGAACAGCCTCTTTTTTTAGAACTGACTGCAGATCTTTATGTTTCCAGGAAAAGTGTCATATAAATAATTATACAAACACTCATAGATTACGCTGCTCAAGGCTTGTGCCATCCACACTTAAAGTGTGATGCCAGAAGCATCAGTAAACTGGCAAAGTCTTATCTTCTGGGATCCCTGTCTAGGAGGGAAAAGTGGGTACCCATTCTCCTCTGCTAAATGGAGCCTGGGGGAAGGGGTGGGATTCTTTACGCAGTACAGATCCTTCCTGCACCCCATGATGTTTATGTAAGTGAACTTTGGCCTCATTCCACATTGCTTCTTTTTCCCTTCTTCCTCCTCCACATCCCTCTTTTTCTGGCTGGGCTGGGGTGAGTTTCCAGTAATTAGTTATAAAATGTGGGCAGTTGGGTGGCCACTACCCCGCTTCTTCTTCTTCTGTTACTGCATTGTAAAGAAAGGCACTTAGGACTAGAATTGCCGGTATGGCTACCCTTTCCTCCCTCTCACGCCAATCCTGGTGCAGATCTCTCTTCTTTTATTGTTGCCTCTGCAGCCTTCTGTGGCCCCCTGACACGTGGAGTTAAGGTCTGCCCTTGATGACTGGTTGGTAGGAAGTCCAAATGAACATGGAGGTTCCCACTTCACGTGGAAATAAGTAGGGGGTCGGAAACTGCCCTCCTTCATGGTGCACGAAGCTTTTCTGTGACACTGGCCTTTGTCAGTCAGTGCTGCTAAGGATAAAGCAATGCAGGACCCAAGAGCAAGTAGGACCGACTACTCAACAGAAGCATTTTAAGGGACGTCAAGCCCTTGCCCTTGCAGACACGAGGGCCTGAGTTCAAATCCCTGGACCACAGTGTTCCTGTGGTGAGATGGGAGGCAGAGAGGAGAATTTCCAGGAGCTTGCAGGTTAGCTAGCCTGGCCTACACATCCCAGTGACATATGACAGAGACTCTGTCCCAAAACAAGGTGGGAGGTCAGGACAGCACCCGAAGTTGTCCCCTGACCTCCACACGCGCACTGCGGCACGTACATCCCACCCCACCACACACACAGCCCACTTTAAACTTCTTAGGTGAGAATATGGAGTCGGCATGGTAATATCCTCCGTGTCCCTTTAAGAAAGACCCAGAAACTCTTGGGGGAGGGGGGAGGATGGGTGTTTAGAGGGAGTCTAATATTTTAAAAGCTACAATTAGCATCTCTTTGGAAAGCTGCAATTGCTCTCTCACTTTTTGCTGCAGCTCAGCCCCCAGAAAAATGTAAAAATGACTTCCTTGTTCTGTCACTAAAGGCTTTAAGATGGAAAACAGGAATAAATGTTGAGGAATCCTGGCGGTTGTGACAGGGTGCTGAGAGAGAGTCAGGTTTTGGTTTCCTTATCTTGACCCCTTGGCTTAGCCTTGTCTCCACTGTCCAGTGCAAAAGCCCAAGATTTCGTGCGTGGTGACCTCCTTGCTGTAGAAAGCAATTTGCTTCCTGACTGAGAGGTTTTTCAAGTGCCTGAGAAATGAGGGGCATGTGACGAGGGTGTGGGTGGGGTGGAAGTGTTTTATTAAGTTGAAATTGCTTGTGGTATCTGTCTTGAAGACTTGCTCTGTTACATTTTTAATGACACTTTTCACCGAAGTGCTGCTCATCACCCTGTCCTCGCCTGACCCCCAGGTCTGAGTTCCGGCACGATGGTTCCCCCTAGAAGCTGTTCTATATCCCACTTTGGTCTTTGCTGTAGCACTTCTCAGGACTGTGGATTTGTCCCGTAGGCTCTAAGCACTGTGGGAGCAGAGATGGTACCTTGATTTCCATGGTTACATGCCTGGATCCTGTGGTATAGTAGGCACGCAGCAGGTATATGTTGATTGGATAAAAGGATGGATGGAAGTTTAAATGAGTGAGGACGGTAAGAGTGATTACTTCTGTTCTATGTTTAAAAATCTCAAGGGGCAGAGAGATTAAATTTCTGCCCAAGATTGTCCTGTAAACAGGCAACAGAACCATAATTTGAACCTAGGGCAGTTTAAATCCTGCAAATACAGTATTTTGAAGGCTTTATGCTGTGTGTGGACGATTACAGGGGGTTAAAAAGATAGAGATGTAAATGACAGACATAGGAACAACATCTCAGTTTTTCCCCCCAATGAGCAGGGAAACTGAGGGAAGGCTGATGTTTTAGTCATTCACATTTAGGGTTGAAGAGGAGCCTGTGAGGGACCCTAGTGAAGGCAGGAAGGTAGGGGAACGGCTGTTCTGTGCAATGGGGAAAAGTAACACTGAGCTACACCTTAGTTCTGTAGTTGGGGTCTTAGGTTCTGAAAATAAGTTTACCTGGGTTCAAATTCTGTTTCTGACACTTTTTTTTTTTTATGGAAGTACTTGGCAACTTATTTAACTATTCTCCATGCCTCAGGGAAATAATGTAATTATAACAACCAGAGGCAAATCAAATTTTCTTGCTTGTGTGAAGCTTGCGTAATATTTCAAATTGTTTAAGATAAGGAATATATAATTTTTTTTGGTAAATTTCATACAAATATTTGGCTGTGGCTTTGAAAATGACTGGTGATTTACAGAGTGTTTAAGCTAATGTCACGATGTCCATTGTCATAAAACGGTTTCAGTGTTTGGTTGAGAAAAATCCTGTGAAGAATCATGCAATTGCTCGTCAACATTGCTTGGTGCTTGTCAGCTGTTATTGCTAGTGAGAGTCGTGAGAATTTTCAGGACAGCCGAAGGCCAGGACAGCCGAAGGCCCGCTCGGCTGAAGACCAGGCTGGGGGTTGAGCTGAAGCCAAACTAGGAAGAAGTAGAGTAGGAGGTGTGGGGACTTTAGAGCAAGAAGGACCGATAGCTGATGTTTTAATTGTACAATTAATGCTTTAAAAATAGTATTATAGTTTTTTCTTTTGAGAAAGGGTCTCGCTGTGTATCCCTGGCTGGCCTGGAACTCTTTATGTAGACCAGGCTGGCCTGGAACTCTTTAT